TTAGGTTGGCTAATAAGTAATGGCGTTTTCAATTGAAAAATTTGTTCGAAAAGTGAAACGTTTTGCAAGCAAGTTATATATCATCTGATAGGAAACTTCTCGTAGTATAAGAATATCAAAAAAGCTTTGGTTGAGGATATAGTTTTTGTGAATTTTTTAGTCGTTGAAGTTGGAAGTGTCCGTCGGCGAAAATTAAGCATCCGACAACTGCTACTATCATGAAATTTCATAGAGCTAATGATTGAATTAATTGAATTTGATTTGATATCTATACTAACACGAAGTCATGCTATCAGGGAACGATGTTAAGCTTGCTTGCAAAACTTTTCACTTTTGAAACAAATTTTTCAATTGAAAAAAACGGCCATTACTTATTAGCCAGCCCACTAGCAGTTATTAGCCAGCCCACTAGCAGTGGGCTGGCTAATAAGTAATGGCCGTTTTTTTCAATCGAAAAATTTGTTTTAATCACTTTATAAGACGTTTGCAAGCAAGCTTAATATCATTTAATAGCAACTTCTCGTAGTATTAGAATATCAAATTCAAATTCAAATTAATTCAACTATTAGCATGAAATTTCAGGTGGAACAGACGTGAGCCTGCCCAATATTGGCAAGGTGAAGGTTGCCAACTTTGAAATTCTTGAAATTAGTTCCAAAGCGTCCTATTGAGATTCCCTTGCTGAGACTTCTACCTCAACCTTTTCCGAATGTATGGAGCAGCTTAAGCGATTTTAGCACTTCGAGTAGACGTAAATAGAGGCAGTTGTCGAAGATGCTAATTTTCGCCGACTTCACTTCCAACTTCAACGACTAAAAAATTCACAAAAACTATATCCTCAACCAAAGCTTTTTTGATATTCTTATACTACGAGAAGTTTCCTATCAGATGATATATAACTTGCTTGCAAAACGTTTCACTTTTCGAACAAATTTTTCAATTGAAAAAAAAACGGCCATTACTTATTAGCCAACCTAATATCAGCAGATACTTGCCTACTCATTAACGATGTCTGATGAGCAAATAATGCAGCATTTAATATCACCACTTTAACTGGGGGGCTTTAGAATCAGTTATTAGGTGTATCGCAATATAGCCTGTGCTCCCGTTCCACATCCCAAAAACCCTCCACTAGCGATCAGTGGTAGAAATACGAGACGCGGTGATTCTAGTCAGGGTGATAGTGAAATGCTAAGAAGATCTAGACGTGCTTGCCAGGCTAAAACGAGGTCACTATCAAAATATACCGCCCCACTCTTCGAAAACTGGACCAAAATTTGATCGAAATTTTCCATTGGAATGAAGATACATGAGCCCAGGGTAAGTTTCGTACCGGCGCTCGAATATCGCATCCTACTCGTCACATACGAAGCGAAACCTCACCAAGAATTCAGAAGTCCAAATTGAGGCAAACTTGCGTGCAGAGGCGTAATAATTCGAAACCGCCTGGACAGCAAATCTCGCAAATTGCTGTCCGCACGAACACAGTTGGCGTGTGCCACGGCGGCAGACGACTGTCATCTTTGGCGACCGCGCCGGATGCTTTCACGTCCGAGGAATGCTAAATTCTCGTTCAGGGAGTCAGAACACCTCAAAAGAGTAGTTCTCCGAAAATCTACCAGGAGTGAATTTTAGTGAGAACGTGGAGTAAATGGACAAAAAATCCCGCATATTCGGTTGGGAATCTAGGGTGAAATAGGGGATAAACACCACATGGTGTACGCTCTTGGTGCAACTGAGCCCACAATTTACACCTTATGACATTTCCTACCGTAGTGCCGCCCGTAGAACTCGTGACATATCTAACAAGATAAGGATAACCGAACTTACTGATACAGCACCACCGAGAGAGCCTTTCCAAGAACGACACAAATGGTCTGGGCGAAGCACCATTCATGATAGTGAGGGCGCATCAGTCCCTGGGTTAATTTGCATAGTAATCTCAGCCTCAGTAACTCCACTCAAAAACACCAATTAAAAACGGTCAAAAACGCCTTATCTCAGATGGAGCAAAAGAAAAAGTTTCATGCCTAAGCTCCTTTTTTAAATTGTATAGTGAATGACATAACGCTGCATTTGAGAAAGAACTACTTCAAGAAACTGTAAAAAGCTCCCTTGATTGGTAAAGAGTCCAACTGAAGCCCTTTGTTGTAGCCTTTTTAGTCAAATGTGATTGAGCTAGCTTCGTTGCGGCAAATTAAGCACTAGCCTCCGGGGACGGTCTTCCAATGTGCGAGAATAAAATTCGGCAGCCAAACAAGCACAGAATTTTCCTGTCATCTGAGAATGCGCGGAAATAAGGGCTGAGCAGTTTAGATACCTGTTGCCTCTCCCCTGCATCCTTCAGACCTCAGACACTGGTATCAACCGAAATCCAGCGGCGAACACGCAGTCAAAGGCGGAGAACATCTAGAGTTAGCGAGAGCAGACAAATAGCGCGTTGGGCTATGGTTAGGCGTTTAATAGGGGCGACATGGCGGCGCGGGCAGAATATACAAACGGCACCCGCGTATCACCACGTCTCCCTCCCTCGTTCTCACAGTGCATTTTTAGCGGAAACCGAAGGTAAAAATGTTCTCAGCTACGCAGCGAGGACTCATCAGCGTCGCACAATGGCAAGGCCCAGGGTTCCCGGAGGTAGTGCAATTAGTTTTCTTTGAATCAGATTGTTGATCAGGTAAGATCGACAGTATCGTGCTTGATCTTCTTCATTGCTGAACCACTATTTACTACTTCTGAAATGTCTTGAATTTCCTTTCGGAGCCTATTACTGTAAGAGTTATTTGTTCACGTACTCTCCCGTCCTTCCGAGACCGGACTGTATTTCGTCAGTGATGAAGAGTACATTATGCTTCTTACAGAGATCTTGTACACCCTGAAAACAGGAAGGATACGAGCACGGTACAACCAGAGATCATTCAATAAAAAGTATTAGGTTGTCCGGAAAGTTCTCAGCGTTTTGTGCACCTATTTTTTGTACATTCACTGCTGATTAAAACTCATTCTGCCTTGCTTCTCAGTAGCACATCCTGTAGAGAATTTCTTGCGCTATCTGATGGTATAATTGCCTTTTCATCATTGCTTGATAAACCCCCTTTTTTCAAGACTTTTTCAAGCATGTGAAAAGAGCACTTTGGACGATTTTTTCTTCGACTATAAATTGGAGGCAATCCGCAATCGAAACAGCTCAACAAATTAACCAGGTGTGGGCCCAATAGTGCTAGAGAAAGCACTGTGCGGCAATGGCTCAACAAATTTCGTTCTGGAGATTTTAGCCTTGAAGATGAACCTCATAGCGGTCGACCTAAAGCAGTATCTGACGAGGATTTTGGGGGAATTTCGGAGGCTCACGCTTGCGGAGTGCGCCGACCTCCAAACAGTTTTGAGAAGAAAGAACAGCTAGGTTGGCGAATGCCACGGTTGCAGATGGTCTGGAAACGCATTGGGAAGGTGAAAAACTCGACAATTGGGTGCCCCCACAATCGGAGTGACCGGCAGGAATCGGCACGTCTCGAGGTTCCTTCTGCATTGCTTTTGCGCAGCAGAAACGACCTGTTTTGGACCGAATTGTCACCTGTGATGAAATATGGATCATGTATGATAACAGGAGACGATCCGGACAGTGGTTGGATTTTGACGGACCACCGAGGTAATTTTCAAAGCCGAACCCTCACGAAAAAAAGATTCTGGTCACGGCTTGGTGGTCATCGGCTGGTGTGATCCACTTATGAAGTTTTTAACCCCGTAGGCCCAAACATCACACGCAGAACCTAATTGAAATATCGACGAATTGTTACGCAAAAATTTTGTCAGATGCAGCACAGTTACAAAAGAACTGTTCCGATTTCTTTTTGCATGACAACGCCGCCCACACGTTTCACAAATCACTATCCATAAATTGAACGAATTGGGGGTTGAAGTTCTACCTCAACCGCCATATTCTCCAGACCTTTCACCAACCGACTATCACCTTTTCAAACATTTTCAGAACTTCCTTGCTGAAAATACTTCATCAATTAGGACCAGGCAAAAAAGACCCTCGTAGATTTCGTGGATTCTCGACCACGTACCAAGTTTTTCTTTGATTGGAATTTTCGGACCGCTATCACATTGGCAAAAGTGTGCTGATTCGAATGGTGCCTATTTCGATTAAATCCGATGAGTATTAAAAAAGTTACGATCGTTTAAAGTGAAACACCCAAAACGCTGAGAACTTTCCGGACAACCTAATAGTATTCGTTAAGTGTGACTATTAACCTTCAAATGACGCCGGCATCTGTCAGCAATGAGCCACTCTCCTTGTATCGGTTCCACCCTGAAAACCGCCGTGTTTCGGATCTGTATGGCTTTCGTAAAATTTATTCGCATTTATTTTTAGCGAAAGTCATTATCGGAACGTTATCCTTCGCTGTCGCGCAAACCCATCGCGTGCTCAAAGCAAAGCGGTAGATTAGGAAACTGACTGTTGTTTTTCGTGTTTAGGTAAACAGCACTACCAAGCAAAGAGTTGGGGTTAGATATTCCTCATATCAAATCTTCTCAAAAAACTTTGCCCACTTACTTCGAGCGCTTTCAAAATCATTGTAGGGAATTCGTTCGAAGAGTGGTACAAAAGGTCCAAAGCCGCCGTAGGAATCCGGGTCGCTTGATGCCGAAATGGCAGCAATTGATCGGCCCCAAAAGTTGTTCTCTGCGAAAACCATCTGAAACACTGGTAATAATTTTCAATGCAACCACTATTAGGGACGATGCCGTTTTGGAAAGCTGCTCCCCAACAGCGCATAGAGAGGACACTCCCCCGCTACGCGGTGTTGAGCTTAGCCCATGAAAGTATTCTATTGTGAATGGCTTTAAAGGTGGCAATTTTGCACTTCTCTGTTCTCCGTGGACAGACTATATCTAGAGAAAGCAGGAAACCAGCTGCTGTACACGAGGAAACAGCGCAGTTCGGCGAGGGGGGGGCATTTCGCACGTTTGCTACTTCCCATCGACGTGTCGACCTATCCAGACAGCCTCGAGTTGACAGGTTTTACCATGGTGGCTTGACGATCTTGGCCCAGCTTCACAAAAGTTGACAGGCTTTCGTTTCCCACAGTGAGACTTTGCAAATGAATAGTTGAGCAAACGAAGTACAAAATGCCCATCGCCAAGTTCGCCGGAACTTGTGGCCTGAGGAAAAATGGCAATCGAAACAGCGCATCTGAAATCACCTCCTCTCCACCATCAGTGCCTACCCAGTTTTTTTTGACGGCCATCTCACGTGAAGCATGTTGTGCTTTTGCGCAAGGTGCAACCGTATTAGAACTTGGCGAGCTGACAACCAGCCTCACGGGAATCTAATGAGCAGTAGGCCACCAGCAGATTTTCGAAGAACGGTCACGGCGCGGATACACAGCGCTGACCATGAGAGGAATCCGTTTGTAACGGGAAACCGCTTACCTTCGCCTTATTCTCAGGAACCTTCTTCACATCGTAGGCCCAACGTCGAGCAAGTTTCACTGCCGATTCGGCTGCTTCCACGCCTGACAGAAGTTTATGAAGACTAAGAAACTTTAATCTCCGAAGCATAGTTCATTTTTTTTCATTCGCGATATGAGATAAGGGAAAACAACATCCTAGCAGTGTCTGATACAATACGTGGCAACGCAACCAAATCATGTACAGATGAGAGACATTGGAGCAGACATTTAGCATGTCTGCGCTTTACTTTTAGTTTGGACAATCTGACCTTACCTGGCTTCGTTAAATTCAAATGTCAAACAAGAAGAGGCTCGGCATGGAGTCTCGCCTCTGCTTGAAGGAGCATTAAGACTTCGCGATGGCGCACGTCGCAGCGCTGTGACGCGCGACGACGCGCTACAATTGCAGCAGCGCTCCAGTTCTCTATACGCGAACGCAGCCGCGTACCGGACTCGACGCTGCCCTAGCGCCGAGTACCGATCGATACCACATTGCGCGATAGAGCAACGTTCTCCCATTCTTTCTTAATTCAGAAGAGGCCGGCGCCGATCAATTCCCGTTATTGAAGCGTTTGCGTCTGTAGGATCGGAGGCTGCTTAAATTGTAGTGCATTACAGCGCCTCGACGCGCGTCATCGCGAAGTCTGAAAGCTGAGGAATTCACATTAGTTCCGCTGCTCTTACAACAAACGATGCAACCTCGAGTTCCCGCATTTCCGTTTTCCGACTTTTTACATCGTCTTCCCCTAGTCACAAATGAGCTAAGCGGGAAAGGTGTACAATAGTGCGCCCGACTCTA